CCTGCCCCGCCCCCGCCCGGCCCTGCCGCTCTGGCAGCGACGGGGCGTTTGCGCACCTCCCTGCGAGGTGTTTGCGGAGGGACGCTCTCCTGCGTGGGAAAGGGGGATCAGTTTGGCTGCCAGGGGGCAGCGAGGGGGGCAAGTGGCACCTGTGTGTGTGTGTCCCTTGGAAGGGTCTGGGCTGTCACGGTGCCCGGCTGTGTCGGGAGCAGCTGGAAGCGGGACCAGAGTCTCTGCTCGTGAGTAACGGTGTTCTGGTGGTTGCGTGTGAGTGAATGCGCTGTCCTAGGTGTAATGATACAGGAGAGAAGTCAGACCTTTGTTTGTTTATTTTTTTAAATTTTTTTTTTTTTTCTGTACTTTTCCTCCTGTTCTCTTTCGGAACAACCGTATTCCACCGCCATTCATCGGTGTGCTCGTGGGACCGCTCGCCTGAGGACGGGCGCTCGGCTGAAGCAGCCGAGGACGCCAGGGTGAAACCCCCCGCTTTGTCCCCGGCCAGTGTGCTCAGCTCCGTTTCAGGGAAAAAGCTGCACCGTCTCCAGACGTTTCCTTTTTCCTCTCAAAGCTGGTCTGCACCGTGGGCTTTGATGGCGAGCTGTGGAAGTCAGTCAGCAGCTCGGAGGACGGGGTGGCTGCAGCTGCCGTAAGAAAGCGGGTATCGAGTTTCTCATCCGGGAAGGGGAGCGCAGGCTGGTCCACCTGTTCTGTGGTGGAACGCTCCGCTCATGGGAATGGTATGCAGGGAAGAAAGGCACTGTGCCGCCAGTCGCGCTCCGACCGGGGAACATCAGACGCAAGGAATGTTTTTTTTAGTGTTAGGTAATAGATGGAATATGTAGTCGATGTTCAAAGCGACAGATACGCTCCAAGGAAAAATACAATTGGATGTTTGCATCTGTTAGAAAAAGGCCATACTGTTGCATTGAGATAATTGATAATCAGGCATAAATATGAGTATTTCATGTTCTCTTTGCCTGCTGTTCTTTGGTTGGTTGGATTTTTGAGACTTGGACTGTGTTTCCACCCTTTTCCACAGCAGTCACCTCCCCCAGAGGTTCATCTCTTCCAGTCTTTTTTGTGTGTGTGTGTGCATGTCCCACCGCAAGACAGCAAAGATTTACGCAAACCGATGAAGTTTTAGGACTTTTTAGGAACGACGAGCTGAGCGGGAGGTGTGGCCCTGACACTGGTGCAGCGAGTAAGGAGGGAAAGGGGCGCAGTCCCTGCCGGGCCGGGGTCTCTGCCTTGCCTTGCGTTGCCTTTCTCGGGCCGTTGCCCCTCGTCTTCTGTGCGCGTGTGTAACGCCCGCCTGCCCCTTCGCCCCCGTGGCAGGGG